AGTAAGAGGAAAATAAAAAAAAGATTTCCCTGCAGAGTGGTAACTGGAAGTACTTTAATGACTGAAAATTTGTTTTATACCACATGATTTATGATTTGCTTTAAGAGCCCAAATGAACCAGAATCCAACAAGCAAAGTCCTTTTGGCTGATGTTATCCCCTCAACAGATTATTTAGATAACCCCATGTGGTAAATCTGAACAGTTGAGAGATGATGATGGTTAATACACTTAAATTATCCAAAATGGCTGGTTAATTTGGGGCCACAATTATGTCAGAGTACTATATAGAAAGTACTTGTGAATAATCCAAGTGTGCATGTGCTGGTCTAGATCACGCTGATGAAGGCAGAATTCTGCATTTTTTTTCTAATTTAAGAGACAGGCTTCCTTCCTTAACAATGACTAAAGCAGACGTTGTTTTAAAAGAATCTTTCATGGATTTAATTCCTTTTTTTTTTTTTTTTACTTTTTAATGAGATAAAACATAAATCTTAAATGTAGATTAATTAGCTTTTGAAAAGCACATGCCTATATAAACTAATGTAGAATATTATTGGCACCACAGAAGCCTTTTACTGCATCTTCCCAGTCATTAGAACTCCCCAAACCCACGATAGGTTAGCACTAGTCTGACTTCTATTACAGCAGATAAGTTTTGTCTGCTTTTTTTTAATGAGATACAACATAAATCTTAAATGTAGATTAATTAGCTTTTGAAAAGCACATGCCTATATAAACTAATGTAGAATATTATTGGCACCACAGAAGCCTTTTACTGCATCTTCCCAGTCATTAGAACTCCCCCAACCCACGATAGGTTAGCACTAGTCTGACTTCTATTACAGCAGATAAGTTTTGTCTGCTTTTTGAACTTCATAAGACAGAATCATACAATATATATTCCTTTATGTCTGGAGATCAAAAACAAAGACAATAGAATAAACCAAGACATAAGGCGAGAGAGTATATTGGCAATACATATTTCTGACCAGAGACTTATACCAGGATATATAAATACAAATCAATAAAAAAATAGACAATCCAATTTAAAAATGAGCAAAAGACTTGAATGGATGCATTACTAAAGAGAATAACCAAATGATATTTTGTACTTTTTGAGTATCTTCCTTTTAAGTCCTGAATCTTTTGAGATCTCAGTCTCAAAAGCTTAAAGTGCCCATATTTAAATTAACCAATCTCTTCTTTCACAAATTAATAAAACATTTGTTAAATATCTCTTACATTCAAAGCACTGTGTCATAAAATGGGGAAATAAGATAAATAAAGTTCCTGGCCTGAAGGAATAGAGTCTGGTAGTTGAAATAAGTCATGTAGAAAAATAACCATACTTCAATACTTCAATATAAATATTAATACTGGCCACAAAAGAAATAAAATAATTGACTTTTCCTACTTGACATTGTGGGAAAGGTGAAGGAAAGTGATTAAAGAAGAAAAGGTGATAAGTGGCTGATTTAATATCTCATAGGATTTGTGTTATACACCTGAAACAAAACTTAGACAAGTATCCCAAGAGAATGCCTTTGTTGACAAATTTCTTTCTCATGCCTCTCTAATCATGGAAGTCAGCCTTTGGTCCTGAGAGAGGAGGATATTAATAGCTTAGGGCAGTTATTTGCTGGATCAGAACTTAGAACCATTTTTACTTCTAATTCTACTCTAATCTTGGTATTCCCGAACTGGTTGGCTCTTTCCGACCTGTACCACATTCCATAAATTACTGGATCTTCTGAACTGAATCTTAATATTCCACTAACTGCACTGCGAATATCTACCTGTAACCCTTCTTAACCTGACCTTTTTAATGCTCAGATCACCATTACCATATATTCTTTTCCTCTTGTTTCTGTATGCCACATCTGGAATCCTGTTCAGTCTTTAGTTAATAGTACCTTTATCCATATGATTCTGTTTGCTTGTTTCTTTGTATTTTGATTTAGGAATAATTTCCAGGTTTTATAATCCATATGCATTTCCTCAAATTAATAAACAGACCTCTGGTCTTGCTCTTGAGTTTTAACTCATGGTCTTCTCTCAATCCTGAACCACTTCCACTCTCTAGATCCAAGACTTCCCAGTCTAGCCTATCTTACAGCTATGGAAGTGCCAATCACAAGAGAAAAGAAAATGGAATTTTTTTCAAATAAAAGCAATTAATGACCACACCCTACTCATTTCAAGTCAGGATATTTCATGAATACATACATACATCCATATGTATTTTGTAAATTTCCCTTATGTTTTGCAATACATAGTCATAACTTAAAATAGTTTTGTCAAAATTTGTCCAATTTGCATCAGAATAACCTAAAGATACTTACACTGAAGAGAATTCTTAGACCCCAGTACAATCTACTAAATCAGAACCTCAGGACCTGAAGCTCACATACAAGAATTCTATCTAAGCTCTAAAGGTGATTCTTATACATGCCCAAGTCTTTAAACAACTGAAATAGAACAACTGCATAAACAGAATGACCACCAACCAATTTAGGTATTTATTTTTACCTATTGTTTGATAGGCACTATGGGAGAAATGCAACGGGAATGTAATTAACAGGCAGGGAATCCTCTGATATCATGTATATAAGCCCAGGATAGCCTCACTAAGAGATGATAAACTATATGGAGAGAGACTCCAGCTTCCCTTCTAAAGCACCAGATATGTGACGGAGGCCATGCTAGACCATCCAGTCCAAGCCTAAGCTGGCTCAGATGAGAACAGCCCCACCAGTGCACAGAAATTAGGAAAACTTTTGTAATGTTTTAAGCCATTAAATTTTGAAGTGTTTTGTTACACAGCAAAAACTGATAGACCCAGTAAAATTTCTTTTATAGAAACTTTATAGTAAGGGTCAAAACATCCTGCCATTCATCCTCTCTGTGTGGAACAACCTTACTGTGTATTCCATCTGGCATGGATTTGTTCTCTCCACTTTTCTCACTTTCTTCTATTCATTCACAAAAGTCTTATTTATTTTCTCCCGAAGGGGTCCTAACCATCTTTTTAGTTCCGTTTACTACATTTTAATTTTACTAACCTTTCTTTCACCATCAACTACGTATAAAGTTTTGTAACACGGGCAAGACATTCAATGAAATTCTTTTTGTAAGAGCACAAAAATTAGGATCTGCTCAAATCCCCAACATCAGAAGAATAACTAGATAAATTATGAAATTTGACATAATAACATTCAGCCACTGAAAATCATGATGTTTGAAGAATATTTAGTGACAAGGAAAATGCTTATAATGTAATAAAAAGTGAAAAGAGCAGAATTGAAAACTATATGTATAGCTATTCATACACTATATAACAATAAAGGACATGCATTAAGATTTTAACAGTGGTTATCTATAGGGACGTAAATGATTTTTACTAGCTTCTGTAGTGTTTTTCTTTATCTATCTTATACAATGAGTATTTATCACTTTTACGGTCAGAAAAAAAGCAAATGTTAAAAATAAATACATAAATTGCATTCTGCTTTCTCACATAGTTCTCCAAACTAATCTTTAAAACACCTTTTGTAAATTACATTAATCAAAATAAAAAATAATAACAAAATTTTTTGCCACTAGAGTTTACATTGAGTACTAGGGGGCTTTTGTCAAAAAGATACTATATTAGGTGAAAAATTAAAAACTAAATAAAGAATAAAAGAAGTATTGGGTGTTGCTACAGCTCCAACCACTCAGGCACATTTACTCTGATTTCACGTATAAATAATCATTAGTCATATTGTATTTTTCTTTCTTAAAATGCATTTTTCTGATATAAAGTATTAACTTTATTAGAGTTGGGATAACTAACTTAAGTATCCATAGAAAACAATACTTTTACTATTTACTGTTAGAGCAAAGACACAAATATTGTACTATAAGTAAAAACTTTGTTCCTAGGGGTATAAATTAGCAATTGGGCAGTCTAGGATTCAGCAAATAATTAAGTATATTGTGGTTATGAGAGCTAGCTATCCTATTATCAGAGAAAGGATTTATAAATAAGGTACAAGAGAATGGACCTGGTGAGTTTGAATGAGAATTGGATGTACCAGAATAAACTCTTGTTGTTGTTTTAAATACAGATACAGAAATATCGTCCCTAGTTCTGTCCACAAAGAATGTCTAGAGCAAAGTTTACCCAGTAGTGATGAACACACTTAACACCCAGATTTCTAAATACCATTCTCCAAGGAAAGCAACCAGAGCTGGGCTAGAGATAATACAATATAAGCCTAGAAGACTTTATGCCTTCAGAAGTTAGAGTATCTTCTCATATGAAGAACTGAGAAGGATAGAAAATCACTTCTCTATTTTTCACAAAAAAAACACATCATATAAACTGGAACATGAGAGAACATCAGACTTACTCAAATTGAGATAGATATATTCTACAAAACACTAGCTAGTACTCTTCCAAGATGGCAGATCACAAATGAAAAATTAAGACTGAGGAAATGCCACAATTAGAAGAGACTAAGGAGACATGAAAACTAAATGCAATTTGAGAATTCAGGATCAGCTCTTAGACCAGATAAAGGACACTAGTAGGAAAACTGAAGAAATTTGTATAAGGTCTATCGATTGGTTAGTAGTAATAGATCAATGTTAATTCCCAGGATTTGTTCTTTGTACTATGATTCTATAAGATGTTAATATACAGTGAAGATGGGAAAAGGAACACTTCATACCATTTCTGCAAGAATTTTGTAAGTCTAGAAATATTTGAAAATTGAAAATTTTTTTAAAAAGAATTTAATGTAGGACATGGCAATTTTTTATTTTGATGTCATCTAAGCTCTCTTCCAGAAGTTGTTCCTAAATCTATATTTCATTTTTATTTTATCTTTTTAAAGACCTTCCTTATTATAACATTAATGCCCCTATTAACAAAAAGAAGAATCAAGAATTAAATGCTATTCAATAAAGTCTCACCCTTTCTTCTTCCAATAACTTTCTTCTTTCCTTTTAAACTTGAATTATATTATTCTTTCATAAATCTGTAAGAGAAATAAGTCCTTATTTATTTTTCTAATGTTTTATATATTTTACAGCATCGTATAAACTTCCAACATCACTGAAATAGTATAATAATGTGATTCTGGACATTGTAGTTAAATAATTGCTACTGTCTTGATAGCTACTAAGAATAAATATAGTTAAAGCATTATTCTAAATTCTATAATTAAATAATTAGAGTTGTCTTCCTTGTATGCAACTTTTATTATTAATTCTGTTTTTGTTTTTGTTTTTTCTTCTTCTTGAGGCAATACTGACATATCCCTGGAATGTGGTGGGTGTTTTAGGGTTTTTTGTGTGTTTCCTAGAGTGGAGTCATTGTAACTTTAACATGATTTTCTTTTCTCCCTTTTCCTTTATTTTTATTTTCCTTTTTCTTTTTAATTCTTAATTGTGGTAAAAGATACATAAAGATAAAGTCATCACCTTGACCCTTTTAAAATATACAGTTCAGTAGTATTAAGTATATTCACATTGTTGAAAAAATTCTGGGATTGATTCTTTTTTCTTTTTACTTTTATTCACACATCCAAAAAAAGATGCAAAGTAAAGATGATTTGCTTAGCTCTGAAGGACTATTAAAAAGAGTATATTTCTGGTTTCATGTGCCATTTTTTTAGACATTATTTGAAAAGATTTACACAAGATATGAATAAAGGTATTAGAGGTAATTTTGAGCTCAAATGATTAGCAACAAAAAACAAGCAAAAAGTAGAGAGCTAAAATACAGTTTGTGTGCATTGTGTGATTATTCTTTTCCCTAGGCATACTTGATGTGCCAGCTCCACAAAATAAAATAAAATAAAATAAAATATAAAATAAAATAAAATAAAATAGAATAATAAAATAAAATAAAACAAAACACAGTATGTGCCTCCTGTATAGAACTTGTCTATCTAATGAACTCAACTATCTTGAATACAGCTTTTCCAGGAAAAGTAAACAAAGGTCTCTGAGGAAACAAAATTAGTGTCACAAAATCCATGTCTTAAATTTTATTTATTTCAGGCACAAAAGAATCTATCTCATGCCTTTTATTCAAGTGTTTAGTCTTACTTTAAGAGCAATGTAACATACTTGGCTATCAGGTATTTAAAAATCACCATCGACTAAAATAGCAAATATGAAGTAAAAAGAGAAATGCTTGTAGGCAATATTGGCAATTTACTGAAAATGAGAAGTTACAGATGCAGGAAAACCATGAAAATCAGACACGATAATGTTATAAATTAAAAATTAGTATTGTTAAGGAATATAGAAATGTAATTCATATCTTGAAAGTCTTTGAGGCTATTATGAATTGAAAAATCATTATGAGAACCTGTGCTTATAATGCAATATGTTCAGTGTATTACATTTTTAAATATAAGGGATGAAAATAAATTCATACTTAGTGATTTCTATGTTCTGGTAATTGACGATTTTAATTTATAGGCTATATACTGCATTTTAGAATGCAAAAATAAAGTGGTTTTTGTTTTATTTTTGATCTTGCTTAAAATTTGGGTGCTTTACACCAGTATAGGGGTAATGAGGGACACATAGTAATGCAAGAAAATTGTACCAGATTCATTTTTTTTTTCCAAAATATAATGTCACACAACTGGTTATTCTAGCTCTCCGTTTAAAAATAAAATATAATTTTTAAAAGTGCTGGCAGTGAGAATTCTATTATTTCAAAGTCCTTTTTTCCTTAAATGCTAACCTGACATTAAAACTTTGCTAAACGTGTAGCATTGAAACAAAATGACAAAAGTAAACACTGAAGAAAAATCTAGAGACATAGACTAGAAATCCTTACAGACATTCACTGAGAAATGACCACAGCCACTCATAGAGCATTTTATAACTCAAGTACATGCCCTTGAGCAAATAGTAAAGGCTTAAAAATAAAAGTCCCAATAAGAATCGAGACTATATGCTCTGTGAGGCCAAGAATACTGTCTCTCTTTATCGATATACTGACAATGCCTGTCACAAGGAGCGAAGACTGTATGAGGCAAAATTGGGACCTGGAGCAGTATCTTCTACATTCTACACATTATTACTCTACTCCCTTCCTCAGTGTTCCAATGAGAAACACAGTAAATACAGTCCTTTCTTGACCAAAAGTAATTTATTGTAACAGATCCTATGAATCTAAAGTAGCATTTTGCACGTTGTTGTTTAACTTTTTTAAATCAACTCACAAAACTTCCCCAGAGTTTTTGTGACAATAGCTTTATTAGACATTTCAACAAGCACGCCAGCACCATATTAATCGCTGTGTACACAGAGCATTATTTTTGGCCTAGTCTTCCTCCTCAAATTTTACATCTGCTCTGAACATATCCAAAGCAAGAAATTTCGAAACCTAGGTCCTCTATATTCTTGGAATGTTACAAATTTAGATAAGAATAACTGAGAATTTTTATTCTTTTCTTTATGACATGTATTGAGTATCTACTCTTAACAGTTACTCTACTAGACACTGGGAATACAGTGGTGAGGAAAACAAACAGAAAATGCAACAAAATTAACAAAACGAAGAAAATTATAAAAAGTACTGTAGGTAAAATGTGGGACTGAATTAAGAATAACAGAAGGAGCAGGGTAGGTGAACTGGGGTCTGATTTAATCATGAAAGACTTCCCAAAGAGGTGACATTTACGCTAAAATTTAAAGAATAAAGTAATGCTTAGATTTTTAAAAGATTGAGAAAGATGATCCTCTTAAGCAGGAAGAAGCTTGTCATGTTAAGGAGCTGAAACAAAACCAGAATGGCTGAGACCTAGAAAAGAGGCCATGATAAAGAGGTACGTTTTTTCTAAGAGCATTAAGAAGCCATTGAAGGGGCTTAGAGAGAGGATTTGTATGGCCTAGTTATGTATATTTTTCTTAGCTCCTAAGCTAAATTAAATAAATATTGCTAACTTAAATTTGATTCGCTCTGAAATTTTCCATAATGCATTTAAAATAAAGTTTTCACCATTCTTTATCCTTTGAACCTGTTAATGCTAAAGTGAAACTCAGTTTTAATGGCTGTCTTCCAAAGATCACTCCTTACTGAACTCTCATATAACTCACAACCACTTATGTCCTTAAACATCCTAGCTGGGAGCCCTGTTTTTTCTCTCTCCTCTTCATGACCACAGAGATCTACAGTTCCCACTGTAATATGACAAAATGCATTAACCGTCTGCATCAAGGGCTCCATTTGTTGTGTTGGCATTTTTTGTTCTTCCTTTCACCTCCCTAATGAGACCTAGTCCCACTCACTGATGTCCTATAGCAGTCAGACAAATCACCATCTCGAGTTCTGCCAGGAATCAAAAATAACATTAATTGCATTCTATATTGCGTATCTATATTTAATGATAATGGATAATATCTCTGATGACATTTTTTCAAAATTTGTTTCTCCATTTCCCGTTCATTTGGAAAAATGCCTTCCTAAGTGTCTGTCTACATTGCTTGTTTTAAGAATGTAAATGCTCATTCACCCTGTAACTCTTATATTATAATCAGTGTACAGAAGTACTTTAAGAGATCCTGACTTTACCATCTAGAAGGAGAATGGGTCTCACAATTGTTCAGGAAATTTCTCTACATAATACCCAACTAGAGACACATACAGCTAATGTGATTCTGCAAATGGGGTCATAGATATCCTGGCACTTCCTCAAGGGAGCAAGATTCCTTTTCCAGGGCACAGGACATTTCAGAAAAGGGATAGAGGGAGATACCTTCTTCAACACTCATGCGGCTGCATAATTTATATATTCTAGTACCTAATAATCCTCAGCTGAGGTAATCATAAGTTTTCTAGACTTTATGGTTCTATGTTCTTTCCAAAATCACATGGAAAGTTGCCAGATGAAGATATAGGACATCACTCCTTAAACATTCCCCTGCAGACTCTTATGACCCTGCATACCCTGACAAGACAAAGGATCTCTGTCAGAACTTGCTGAGGACATAAAAGAGATAATCTATGCAAAACTACTCTGAAAGATACAAAGGGGTGTGCAAATTTAGAGTACTAAGACTATGGCTTATTTTTCTTTGTTTTCCCAATGGCTAACACAATACCTGGCATACAGCAGGTTATAGATATATACATATATACATACATATATACACACATACAGTGAGAGAAAGAGAAAAAATGAATGAATGAATCTACTCACTGCATTTGAGCTTCAACAGATTTAGCTATCCTTTGTTCTAATTTCCTATTTTATTGTTATTATGAAAGTATTTAGTATTTTTCTATCTCACTTCACCTTTTCTATGATTTTTCTCATGTTACCTTAACTTTCCCCAATACACAGATGGTGCCCCCACCCAGTCAGTCCTTAGCACCTCATCTCCGTTATCTCCAAACTTTTTCCTTCCCACTTTCCCATCAGCTATTAAGTGGAAGGGCAGAAATTCGAGGCTGTCTGTCTCCAAAGCTCTTTGTACTAATCTCTTCTCTTCCCCAAGGAATTTCTGGCTCTGATGACTCAATATCAATGGGAGGACCTTCCCGGTGTCCCTTATATCCTTCATCATGTAATACTGCCTCTCCCTCTATAGTAAATGTAGTACTACTTAAAGTCACTTTCATGTAACAGGAAGCAAATGCATCAAACTTTAGAAACTTGAGGTTTGGGTGTCTAATTGAAAATAAAGTAATCTGAAAATTCAGATGAGGACAAAAAGCCTCTCATGAAATCATCCTCTGTTGTTCATTCTTCCACTCTTAAGCCAGTGAGTGTGAGTGTCAGACTTGAGGAGTCTTTTAGAGATACAGTTGGTTTTCTTATCACTCGCTGACTCAAGAGCAGCTCCCTGATGAGTCACACATTGCTTCTGTCACAACACATCAGCCAGGAGCCAAAAGTCATCAAATACAGAAAGAGCTGTGCTATCAGTGATCAGGAGCAGCTTTTCCCTGTTTCTTCTGAGGACCAGACAAGACTCAGTTAGAGCACAAGGAATTTGGAATGAATTTGTATAAGTATGTAGAGTGTAAAAGTTGTGAGAAAATGAATCACCCAGTGGTAACGTAAAGCAGAGGTCTTCCTAATTTTTTTTTTTTTTTTTTTAAGAAAAGGAAAACTTTTCATGTCCCTAAAGTTTTATCTGGTTAGGCTGAGAAAAGTACTGCCAATAAATAAACTAACTAACTAACTAACTAACTAACTAGCTAACTAACTAACTAACTAAACCAAAAGCGAGAAAATGAATCACCCAGTGGTAACGTAAAGCAGAGGTCTTCCTAATTTTTTTTTTTTTTTTTAAGAAAAGGAAAATTTTTAATGTCCCTAAAGTTTTATCTGGTTAGGCTGAGAAAAGTACTGCCAATAAATAAACTAACTAACTAACTAACTAACTAACTAACTAGCTAACTAACTAACTAACTAAACCAAAAGCAAGATAAAGATCATTCCTCCCAAAAATACCTCCAGGTTCCCTTCCAAACTTGTGCTTACAATTTAAGGAACTATAATGGCAACAAGCCATCGCATGTGTGGAAACTACTACCAGTACAACTTAATGTGTTGGCTGGAAACTACTGAAATAAAGTTCACTTCTCAGAATTTTAGGAAAAGGTAAATAGTTTTCCCAAATGACTGAAATGCTGTCTTATTTAAAAGCAGAGAGACAACTTCAATAGTTAAATTTTGAAATTCTTTGCAAATCTAAAATTCTGTAAGTCTATGATATGTTTGTTAAAAGCTAAATATATGTATAATAGAAATCACTTATATATTAGCTCTGAATATTTCTAAAATTAATAATTGTATCCTATGAAGTGAAAACAAGATAAATGCTACAATAAGAGGGGTGTCTTGACATCTTGAGTCCTCCAATCAGCTATAAAAATCAGCTATGTAGGCTAATAATTTCAAGCCAAAGGTATTTTAGAGACAATTGCACATAGTTGTGTATTTGCCTTTCTACACCTTGAGCATCGTCTAATGGAAATAATACAACCCAATCGTTTAAGAGTTCTTTAGATACTTATGACAAGAAATTAATTTAAAATTAATCTAACATTTTGAATGTTTGAATGCTAGCTACCACTTGAGTTTTTTAAATGTCTTTTATTTTTAGTACAGCATAACTTTTTAGTAGCTGGTATAAGTTCCTCAAAATGCATTGCAGCGGGAGTGGGGGGAACAACCAACCTCTTAAAAAGAGTAATACAATAGACATCCATTTTTTTATGGGACTTATTTATCTATCCTCCCTTGAAAACAGGATTTTAAAGAGATTTTATTTCTTATTCTCATCCAGAGCTCTAACTTTATCAGGTCCCTGCCAGAGCTGAGTTCTGCTAGTACCAGAAGGAAATCTTATAAGTGGTTTAGTAAATGCTAAATGGAAACCTGGGGATATCTGACTATACAAAATCCAAAAGTAATAGCTTAGGAATTCCAAGCAGAACTTTGGTGTCTCTCATAAAGGTATGTTAGGCTAAGTAGAAGATCTCTATAGTTTTAGCAGCTCAAATCCTGCCCTGCTTGCGTTGGTCCTAAGCAATGTTTTCTCAACAACATTAACAATGCAAAATGTGAGCTATTTGCCTATTTTATCATGGAAGAGCTCAAATCTCACTTATACGTGTTTGTTTCTTTGGGCTCTAATCAAAACAGTCTCAGTTAGTGTCCAGTCATATCATTACACTATGTCTTAAACACCTCAAGGACCTCGGCTAAATGTTCTTTGCTCTTTCCAGGAATAATAGTCCAATTCAGTCATTCACAAATTTGGCTCGAAAATGGCAATTCAATTTGTCTCCTATTAGACAAATTAGACAAAAGATCAAAATCTCCTTAACAAGGAGAGTATTTTGTAGAATGAAATGGGGGGAAAAAATAGCTTTTCCTTTAATAAAAATATTATGAACCTCTTAAATGGATCTTAATACAAGTGATCTAAATTAGGTTTTAGCTTTGATCTCAGGTATTTTCCTTTTACAGATCTAAGAACTAATAGTTGTTTGCCTGAAATTTCAATGAAAATTATTTGTTTTAAGCTTTCCTGGAAAGTCTGCAACTGATTCTTTAACTGAAATTTTTACTTGAGTAGATAAAGCTCTTTAACAAAGTTAATTACCTTCCACAGACTTAAATTAAATAAAGCTCAAGTCTCTAAATTTTAAAGCATCATTTGTTCTCTTAAAATAATTAGAATAACACATCAGATATCTAGAACTCAACTACAGAGAAGCCTCACCTATCAGGAATACAAACAAGAGTCCCAAAAGTTTCCAAGTAGCCAGATAGATGTTACAAACTGACAAACAAAATATATTTAAGAGATCAGAGGTCAGGGAAAGGTTTATACCCTTTCTCTCTGTTTTCTCTGGCCAAGGAACTGAATAAAAAGAAAAATAGCTGAGTAGAAAATGAATACTTTACTAGTTTGGAGAGGTTTCCCTATTCTCTCTTGATTATCCCAACCAGCACCTACCTATACAACTTCTCTCATTAACAACAAAGTTTAGACATGAGGTCTAAACGAGGGTTTTTGCTTTTCTTCCCCCAAAAAACTAAGATTCGGGGACCCTCAAAAAAGACCAAACATGGTTTACTTACCCAGTCATGGAGACAGAAGGGCTAAAACAGAAGGAGAAAATGCATATCAGTTAGCAAGAGTTAGCTACATCTGTCTCTAGAAAATAAACCCTGTTTGATCAGTTTAACACAAGTCAAAAGCGCTAGAGACAAGATATGGAAAAGGATGGGTCATTGTAAATGTGACCCAATAAATGGCCTGTATTTTAATCAATTATATTTGCTCCTTCTCCCATAGGATATAGAAGTACAAATACAATTGCTCCAACAATTCTCTCAACACAATTTCTTTTATTATAGTCATGCAATATCTCCCCCAGGAGTTTCCTTAGAGCCTAGTTAAACCAATATTTAGAGAAAATTCTATTAAGTAAAGACTCTCAGCCTAAAGTAGTATAGAATATGCAAATTATGGTAGAGAGAAGTGAGGAAGTCAATATAAGAACCATTTGAAAAGCAGGCTCACGGACAGCAATGAACATTGAATGTGGCTGAAACAGAATAAAATGTAAAGTAGACATACCAGTGCTCCAGAGCATAGCCCTATGAACTCCTCAGAGAAGAGGCAAAACACTTCTGGGGATCTTGCAATCTTCACTATATTAGGAACCAAAGCATTTTCTAACCTTGAGTTAATGGGAAATGATTATGCCTGTTTGTTCTTTTCAAAAAGCTCCAGAAGCATTTGCTACCTTGAGGATGTTCTTTCTTCAACTGTTGGTTTTTTAAGTGTTGTTCTCATAGAATTATGCCTCATAATGAGGAAAAGTCATTTATGTTTTTATACAAAATGACATATGTCCTGACCATACCAATTAATTTGTATTTGTACCTATATACACTTAAAGTTTCTATGGTAGATATACAGGTAGATGATAGACGATAAGGATAGGCTTTTCTGAGTTGGCAAATTTCAAGATTTATTCAGTCATTCTCAGAAACCGGAAAAAACTAGAGAAGAAATTCAAGTGTTAAAAACTTCGGTTTCTAACTTTACATTTGCTTTTATTTGCTATATTCCCTATATATAAATGTTTTTGGAAGGCACGGTGTTTTTTCTCTTAAAGCTGAGTTTTGGGACTCTAGTAGAACTCCTACGATCTGACAAATTCTCACACAAGAAATCACTTTCTTATGGATTTCCTATATGCAAAATGATTTATCTGTGGCTCCTACATGGCCAAATTTTAATCTTGCCCTGTTACTGCTTTTTACCTGGTGATCATATGTAAAGGAAATTTTATAAATAGATGATAGGTAGATGATAGATAGAACATAGATAGATTATAGATAGATAGAGAGACAGACAGATAGGTAGATGATAGATAGATAGATAGATAGATAGATAGATAGATAAATAGATAGATAAATAGATGATAGACAGACAGACAGATAGATAGATATATAGATAGATAGATAGGTAAATAGATAGATAAATAGATGATAGACAGACAGACAGATAGATAGATGATAGATAACAGAAATTCATGTGATGTTTCCCAAAGTATACTGTAATTATATTTTGCATACTTATATTCTACATTATCTGTCTTATTTGTTACTGACAAGAATATTGGTAATAAAGAGTTAATTTAACTTTTAAAAAATATAGCTGACTAACACAAAAATGACTATCAAAATTATAAAATTTTGAAGTAAATTTAATCCAGCTTTCTTGTACCTTTTAACTATGGTAAGCAATGTTAATCAATGATAAAATACCCAAAACTTACCTACATTACCTTTAGTTCATGGGTAATAGCATAGTCTTTGGAGACAAAAGTTAAGTATAACAGATCTGCTCCATTTTGATCCACGTATTCTAGAATCCATAGTTTGAGCTTTTATTTAAAAGATGATTCCCCAGGGACAATAAACAAAAAAAAGATTCATTTCCATTTATTCCGAAAATTGTCTACCATTGAGGTGGCAAAAATTTGTCAGTCGTTAAAGGGAAAGAAATACTTTTCAAACCCATATCATCTAAATATTATTGCGCCGATGCTTGAATATCAATAATGATAGAGATGAGTCACCCTAAAGACATTAGAATTCTGTAACCAATTGTTATTCGTTAAGTCATTATTTTTGTCTTTAGAGAGGGAATTAAGGTAATGCATTAAAAATTATCAAAAGAATTTAAGTGTTTTATTTCTCGCACTTTTCTTCTTTTGATATTGTAATTTCTAAGGGTTTATCATATTTATCTTGATATATAACTTGTAAAACTCACAATCTTGTCATCAAAGTTGGGCAGTAATATATCTTTATTTTCTTATGGGTCTGTTTAGTTCTAGATACATTCAGCTTTCTCAGCCCTGTTAGGCTCACATTATTTCAAAACACATTTGTTCTTTGTAAAAATTTTAGAATATCTTACTACTCTTGAATCACCCCGTATATATTAATTCAGTTTCGTGTAAATATGGAATTTAGACAGTAAGGCAGTTAATTTAAATAAGATTGATAAATCAAATCTTAGCCATTAAATAGAACTCTTTCTCTTCAAAGGGCATTTGGAAAGGGTCCTCATTTACCCTGTTTGGACAGAACTGGTCAATAATTGGAAAGAGCTTCTCAATTCTGATATTAATACCTCAGAGAAGCAGACAATTTTACCACCCTCCCCCCAAAAATGACAAAAATCAGGAAATTCAAGATTTAGAAAATGGATAAGTTGACAGTATCAGAGGTAAAATCTGTAACTTGCCAATTACTGAAAGTTGAATAAATCTCAGGCATTGTTGAAATAATGTTTATAGGACAATCACACATATAGAGAAAAGTTACAGTTGAAATCTGCTAGGCTCTTTTTCTTTTTCTACTGCATTCCATATGTCTGATGATGCTTACAATGGCCATACAATTCATTGGCGAAACTAGAGTTATTTTTTAAAAAGTAAAAAAAAAAAGAAAAGAAAAGAAAATCAGAAAAACAAACCAAATAGTACTAGTGCCTTATTTTCATTAGCATAACATTCAAAAAAGTATTTTTAAAGCATGAGAATTAAATCATATTCTTAAAGATCTCAAAAAGTGGTATTTATAGGGGAAAATAGGACTAATATTTTCTTTGAAATTAAACTGCATTCTTAAACATGAATTTGAACTTTCTAAAATTCTACTCAACAAATAATATAAGTTAAGCAATTATGTAATACTAAGGGATATTTATAAATAAATATAATTCATTTTTATCGCAACATATAGAATTTACAGGCTGTAACATATTTTTATGCAGAGAGCATCATTCTCAATAAGACATACGTGTAAAACTCTAAGCACCCTTGTTTTATCTAATCTTACCTTCTTTTCATTAAAAATGTATTCGTTGGTAAAGTAAAAAAGACTTTAGAACTGTAATATCTCAATTCACAAATTCTACAAAATGCTCTAACACAATTGTGAGCTATAGAGCAGTAATGGCTAGTCACTAGAGGCTGCTGAATCTGTGTAGATTTGGCTCTACCTGTGATTTCTCTCACCCTCCTCAAAATCATATCAGAATATATGAGTATAAGCAAAATCATTATAGAAATAATCTGAAATCCTTTCTGACAGATGAAAAATTAATGTCATTCCCAAACTTGAAATCTTTGACTATATTAACAATAGAATACTTGCTACACACCTCAGAATATTCATAAAAATATTCTAGTATCTACCATCAACTGAAAACATCCTTATGGGATTGTTAGCTCCTTGAGTGTCCTACATTGGTTACTATTTAAGTCCCCAGCATAAGGCACAAGGAGGGCACACTGTCAACATTCGGCATCCATTAGGTGACTCTACCATTGAGGAATGGTCTCCCTTTGCTAATTGCAAATGAGAACTGCCAAACATAATTTGCTCCTATAGACTGGCTGTTAGCAATTTTATTCCATATAAAGTAAGCATGCTAGAAATGGGTAAAAAATAGCTCACTTTTGTAATGTTTTGGGATAATTTATAAACTTTTTACAAATATATATTTTAGTCTTTCCCACTTTGTCTCCTCTTTTTTGAGATTTCATCAACACAGAGGAAGTGGGGATGACTACCTACATTTGAAATTTCTGTGTTTATAAATGTGTGTGTATGTATACGTGTGTGTTAGAATAAGGTAATATTGTCTAAAAATGTCTCTGGAAGAAACCTAGTAGAAAAATGATGTTGATACTATATGATGGATGACATGATAGGTAAGTCTTAAAACCTAGAATTCACAATTTAAATTCTGAGTCTTAGAGAAGAGATTTTGTTTCCAATCAGGTTGTCTCGACTAATCACAATTCACATTTCAAAATAAGTTTCTAAAACTAGGGAATGATAATAGATGGGCCCTAATTTAAAACTTTTTCTCATTTAAGACACAAAATTTTCAATTCCCATCTCTATCTCTGTGGAGTGCTTAAAATAATCAATATATAATGTAATATATAATATCAAAGTTTTACAAAAACGTGAAAATGTTTACAAAACTTTACACAATGAATAAAACTACATTTTTTCTTTTAAAAACATATTTTACCACAATGAAGATATGTAAAAGCACCCCAATGGAAGCAAGAGCTACTAATTATATTCAGCAGGTCTCTTTTGATATCTACAATATCTATAAATAATTATGTCCAAGAATAGTAATAAAATGTTTTCCCTTCTTTTTGGCACAACTGATCTGGAATGCTTACTTAAATTAAGACAAAATACAGTAACATTTCATAAAACTTTCAATTTTCTACAATGCAGCAATTTCTTAAACTTCCACAATCTCAACTGAAAATTCAATTTTTATGTCAGTGCTAGGCTAATTCCAAAACCATATTTTTTGAAAAGAAGTTTAGTGAAAGTTTCTTACAGTCTCAACACTATGCTACACAATTTTCAGGCATTATCTCATTAATTCTCATACCTATAAGTAGACCTTTAAAATCCTCGTTTTACAGATGAGAAAAGGAGACTTGGGGAGATGACACCATTTGTCCAAGGTAGTGACAGTTATTGCATGGTAGCAGTATGTTTTAGACACAGGCCATTTTAACTTCAAAACCCGAGCTATG